CAAGTTCCCGGTAGAAGATAGCATTTACAGATTTACAGAGCGTGACACACACACACACACACACACACACACACACACACACACACACACACACACACACCCAGTCTGGCTTGGACGATGAACTAAAGTTCCTGGTAGAAGATAGCATTTACAGAGCGTGTCTCACTCACTCACACACACCACACCACTCACAAATGTGTACTCAGTTGTAACCATCATTGCCTCATCGTGAAGTCCACTTTATGCTTCTGCAGTCCCACCCGGGAGACTGAGGCACAGGGCCCAAGGGTGCCATCCGGGGTGTGTTGGGGACGGGGCGCTGCACCGGGTGGGACCCGGAAGGTGGGAGGCGGCTTTCCCGCCCCTGCTCAGCCCGCAGCCCCCGGCTGCCCATATAAGGCCGCGGGAATCCAGGCAGGGTCCGGGCTGCGGAGGCTCCCCGCGGCTGCAGCGTCCTCGGCGGCGAGGAATGTGTGGAATTTCCCTGGCCCGCGGCCGCCCACCGCAGGCCGGACCATCCCGGAGCATCCCACCCGGGTGAACGCCAGCCCGCGGGGCGGGAGGAGCGCACGCCGGCTTCGGTCCCCGCCGTCCGGGTCCCCGCCGTGGGTCGCGCGCGCCTGCCTCGCCGCTTGGAGGAGCGCGGCCGTCGTCGGAGCGGCCGGGTGGCGGCGCCACCTCACCTGTCCCGGGCCGAGCGGCGGGGCCGGAGAGCTGGAGGAGGAGGAGGAGGCTGGAGAAGAGGCTGGGGAGGAGAAGGAGGAGGCCGGGGAGGAGCCCGCGGCGCCGGAGCCCGGCGCAAAGTGAAACTCCTGGAAGCTGCTCGCCCTCGGGCGGGCCCCGGCCCCGGCTCCCTTCCACGCCCGGCGCCCATGGCACTGAGCAAAGGGCTGCGGCTGCTGGCGCGGCTGGACCCCACGGGTCCCTGCAGTGTGCTGCTGGAGGCGCGCGGCCGTGGCGACTGCCTGCTCTTCGAGGCCGGCGCGGTGGCCACGCTGGGTGAGTGTCGCGTCCCCCAGTTCCCCACCCCTCGTGCTCCCCACGCGGGCGGCGACGTCGGGGAGGGAGGGAAGGAGGGAGGGAGAGAAGGAAGGAAGGAATTAATGAGGGCGACCTCCTTCACTAGTGGAGACCAGGGGACCAGCGGAGCTTGGTTCCCCGACGGGGCGGGCCCCGGTGACTTGTTCGCCGGAGTACGTGGTGCGGGGGACGCCAGAGAGCTGGCACCCCTGGCTGGGTGAAGTGTCGCGCTCGCCTCGGGGTCGCGGGGTGAGCTCTTCCCCGGCCGGGCGTCTGTTTTTTGGAGAGCCAGCTGGCTCTGATTCCGCTCTTGGCACTCAGTACCGAAGCCTTGTGTGCTCTGGGCGCCCTAAGGAGGTTGCCCTGAGGAGGAGTCTACCTAGGGCTTCCTTGCTTGGGCACCTGTTGAATACACCTAAGCTGTATTGCCTTCTCTGGAGAGATGGGCACTCAGGCACCCAAAGAGACTCTGAGAAAGGACGATGGCTCACTTCATTTGCCGCCTATAAATACCTGGTTTGAAGCATCAGAACCTGGATGCAAATATCCCCTCTGGTGACTTTGTTTATGCTGAGTGGTAGGTGACAGCAAGCCATTGTATTTCATCACCAGACTTCAGAACTCTTGAGATTGGACCTTAGAGACATAATGTCACACGCAATTTTTCTTTTAACAATGTTAGCCCGTAATAGAGATAAACAAACTGAGGCCTAGAGATGCTAAGACACTTGCTCTAGGCAACACAGCCTTGTGTGTGACTCTGCTTTGGTGATGTCATATGGTGCATAGCTTCCTGGTGTGGCCTGCTTCCTGATCCCTAGTTTTGTATTGACATTTGCAAGAAGGTCTAGCTAGGTAGCTTAAACCAGAAGTCAGATATGACTGGTAGGATTTTAATGGTGAACTTTGGAGGGCAGGCTTGCAGCAGTGGATGTCCAGTTGTCCACCCTCCTGGTATTCCTAGCTAAACAGGATCACTTACACTTTCGGAGGTAACAAATGCAACCAGCACTCACTTGCACGGTGCTTTGTGTGTCTAGGCCTTTCACATTTGTGTGCATTGACTCCAGTTACAACATACATATTTGTGTGTATATATACACATGTCTTAAAAGGGGCATATCTAGTTCCACTTCTTGGACCATGCCATTAAGGTGTAGTTTATCTAGCTGGGTGTGGTGGAACACACCCCAGGTTCCAGCTATCTGCCGTGGGAGCATCAGTGGGAAGATCCATTAAGCCCGGGAGTTTCAGACCAAATGAGGCAACATAGCCAGACCTCGAAACAGCCAAGTACAGAACAATACGGGAAAAACAAACAACAAAGAGCTGACTTGCTGTCAGCCACTTGATTAGGGAAGCGATGTCTGCAGTATTCTGTGTCAAAAGTGTGCAGAGTCATGGGATAATTATCACATTATTCCAATTTGGGTTCTGTCCTGAAAAGCCCAAGTTTGGTCGTTTGTCACAGCCTTGAAAGAAAACCACGGAAATTTCCATTCCATTTTAGATGTCTACTTCGTAACACGTTTATCAGAACCCGGAGATTAATTTCACGGTACACAGCTACCGTGTCATCAAAGAGAATAAAATGCCTTTCAGACAGACCGCAGCAATGCTAAGTGAGGCGCTCACACCAGTGAGTGTTTTTGAAGCCGCTTGGAACAGGTGTCTTGCATCGGGCCATTAAGTTTGGACCAGGATGCATTTACACGGCATGGGTGATACAGGACTTTGGGGTTGACAGCAGAGGTTGTAGTGAAAAGATCTGTCACCTTCTCAACCCTCTCCTGTGTTCTGCGTATCTATCCCTTCACCTAGCTTTTGTTTTCAGTAGACGCTTGGCTGAATTACTTACAGTTTTTGGTCTGTTTCCCTTGGTCTTGTTTGTCTTTGTCTTTAAAGACATTGTAGCGTTTGCTGATAATGTTGTGAACGGATAACAGAGCGCCTTTTGTTATTAGATAGTTACTGTTCTCCCGCTTTTAAAACATCCTAAATGCATCACTGTTGGAGGGAATGACTCTGAACTTTAAAATCGCCACCTGTTCCCAGGGCCAGCTAGCTGCCTTTCTTCTATTCCATGACCTTTCTTGACCCCTTGACCAAGGGATAGGACTGGAGAGGTGGCTTAGCACTTGAGGAGCGAGGGCCGCTCTTCCAGAGGACTCAGGTTTAGGTTCCCAGCACATACATGGCAGTTTACAACTGTCTGTAACTCTAGTTCCGGGGGATCTGGTGCTCTTTCTTCTAGCCTCTGAGGTCACCAGGCACATGTGGCGTACGGACATATATTCAGGCAGAACACCCATATACATAAAATAAAAATTATTGATTGATTGATTGATTGATTTTGAGACAGTGCTTCATAGCCCAGGCTGGCCTGGAACTCACAGAGTGCCACCTTCCCCTGTCTCCCAAGTGTTGAGATTAAAAGTGTGTACCGCCACACTCAGCTCATCTGTTTCATGCGCCTTTTTAATTTTTGTTTATGGATGTTTTGCCTGCATGTATGTCTGTGCCCCATGAAGAGGCCCGAAGAGTGAGTTGGAGCCCCTGAAACAGGAGTCACCCATAGCTCTGGGTCACCCTGCGGAGGCTGGGGATCAAACCTGAGCAGCCACTGTGTTTAACTGCTGAGTGAACTCTCCGGTCCCCCAGATAAATAAACCTGTAAGGAAGCAAGCAAGGAGGGTAGGGAGACAGACGTGCCCTCTCCTGAGTGGTGTGGCAGCGGGGGAGGGAGGCAGAGACACAATGCACATTTATGGCAGTCTAATCCTGACTCCTTCCTTACTGGCAAGGGGTGTGGCAGACCGATGTTTCTCTTCAGCTGTGGCGTCCTCTGCTGGGTGTCCCCAGGGAGTCTCGGGACTGAGAGCCTGATGGAGTGCAGACTCCTGCCATGTGGGAAATGGTCTCTCCTGGCCTCTGTGTTCTAAGCTCTGTCCACATATTGACCGGGCATGATGGGTGGCTTCCATGAGGGAGGCAACAGCTGTGAGTGCATCCCTGCCCTCATGGTGAGCCAGTGCCTTCCTTCTGTGTTCCCTAGTGGAGGTGGCATCTTGAGACGCGCCTTGATTCAGTGGCTGCACACTGCCTTCAGGGTTTTAGGCCATTTGAAAAGATGGGGTCTTGGATTGGATATTGAGTTTAGGAAATACTAATGCTGTGTGAGTGTTGAGGGAAAGATTCTGTAACCTGCCCCCACCCATTCGGAACTTAGCCTCCTCTTCCAAGACAAACGTTGCTGATGGTCGGTCGTCACACAAGATCACCTTGCCTGCCAGCAGGAGCCTTGGTGAAGAAACAATTCCAGCGTCTTGTTTCTAAAGAATTCAGTTGAGAGTCTTCTGTGTGGATCAGTGATAATAAATCTTCCAGAGGCAGAAGCAGCAGAGATGCATGCACTGGTTTGGAAGGCCTTTGGAATCTGTGGGGTAACCTGAGTTAGCATCTGGAGCCTTCTTCATAGCATACAGGTGTTCTGTCCTTGAGTGCTGAGACCACAGTACCTGATGTCTTCTTCTCTCTGTCTCTTTTAGGCTCAGGGTAGATACATGAAATGTGTTGATCGTCATTGGGTTTCAGTTGCTTTCAAAGTTCGGGGTTCTCTAAGCAGCCCCCAGGAAGGGTGGCTGGGGAGTGTCCCGGTGTTTACACCTGGGGTTGCTGACAGAAACTCCACCTCACCCCCCTCCAGCCTTGTCCCTGTTGATGGATGGCAGTCTGGGAGAGGCGAGGAAGGAGGCTTGAGAGACCTCACTTATTAGAGAGTGCTCCTAAACTCTGGGGGTTTCCCGGGGAAAGGTTGTGCATGAACAGCTGGCTTCCTGGCCAGCCCAGCTGCTGTATTTGTATAGATGCCACAGCCATGTTTGGTTTGAATTAGTGCTGTGGCCATGAGCCCAGCTAGGCCCCTTTCGAGCTGTTCAGTTTTTCAGGCTCTGTAGCCCAAATTTATGTGGTCACTGGGTTGAAGTTTGACCTGCTTGAGACTGTCACAGAGAACCACAAAGTGGTCATTGGGTAGATTCTCCAGACTAGAGGTGGATACAGGAAAGCCCTGCCTCGGGTGATTTGGGTCATAGCAGCTGATGGGCCCCGCGTTATTGTATGTGGATCCTTTCCTCAGTGCAGGCTTTCTCTGTACCATGTTTATAAAGATAAAAACTAGGGAAGCATGTTTCTCTTCCTGTTGCAAAATCGTTATTTTGGTTCTGACTAGGTTCTCATTGTGACAGTGTGGCTCAAAATTTTGTTTTTAACTTTTGTTTGTTTTGTGTTTGTTTATTTATTTATTTATTTTGAGATATGATTTCTCTGTGTAGTTTTGGTACCTATCCTGGGACTCGCTCTGTAGACCAGGCTGGCCTCGAACTCAGAGATCCACCTGCCTCTACCTCCCAAGCACTGGGATTAAAGGTGTGAGCCACCACCACTTGGCTTGTTTTTAACTTTTAATTGTGAAAATGTTCAAGCACACAGAAAAACAGAGGGAAAGAAATCAACCTTCGTGGATTTAGATGTTATCAGTATGTTAATATTTCCCGCCCATCCCTGTGGATAAAAAGCTCCTAAAATTGAATTTGTTCCGTGCCAAGTGAGATCTAACTTTTCTCCCATGGACTTTCTCTTATTTCAGTTCAATTTGTTTTATTTTTTCCATAAATTTAAAAATTAGACATTTTTATGGGGACAGAGTAATGTTACATATACATAATGCATTATACAATGTGGGATGGCTAAATGAAGCCACATAGCATCATCATTTCAAATGCCATTTTTTTTTTACTTGTTTGTTTTACAAGACAGGGTTTCTCTATGTAGTTTTGGTGCCTATCCTGGATCTCACTCCGTAGACCAGGCTGGCCTCGAACTCAGAGTTCCTCCTGGCTCTGCCCCAAGTGCTGAGATTAAAGGCATGCATCACCACTGCCCGGCTTCAAATACCACTTTTTTATGATGAGAAATTC